CCCCAAAACCCCAAAACCCCCCCCAAAACCCCAAAACCCCGAAAATGAGCATAAATACTAAGAATATTGGAATAGTTGTAAATTAATAATAAGAATAAAAGTTTCATATGAATTTCACACAATACCATCTTTACCCAGAAGAGGAAAATACACCTCACTTCTCAAATAATCTAAAATCATTCAATGCCGCCTAGGAGAATATAGGTTTCGGCGACACATTAAAGGCAGTCAGAGCAACGTAAAGCTCTGTGAAGCTAGTACCACATAAGTTGGATAGTTCTAATGACATTTCATGCCCACAACTATCGATATAGGAAAATAGGAAAACTTTATAACATTAAAATAGTATCGGGCATTCATCACAATCCCTTTCTCAATCTTAGCAGAATTTGCATAAATGCATTTTAATCGGCGATTGCAATGTTGGCAAGACAAGCATCATTCGTCGACTGACTCAAAACACTTTTAGCTTTGACAGAGTCCCTACGACATCAGTAGATGAAGTGTCAAATTTCATAATGCAACTCAAACCGACCTAATCTAATAATAATAGAAGTTATAATAATAATTCCAGGTACAGCGATATTTCCTGGTCTAAAAACTAGAAGTCTTTGTCAATGATATCTCTCCCTACTCTAACCTTAAATAGAGAGCAATCAGAAAACTCATCCTCTGTGTTTAATAATAGCTCAAACTATATTCAGACGCAAATCTCATCGGATACTGGTACAGACAGATCAAATATAATAGGTTTAGAAATATGGGATACACTTGGTTAGGAAAGACATAGCTCACTAGTCTCAAGCTACTATAAAAACGCATCTGGAATAATGATTGTTTACGATGTCACAAATATGGAGAGCTTTATGAACATAAGATCTTGGTTAGTAGAATTAGAAGATCGTTTGCACAACCTACCGCATGAGGAGTCATACATTTTGGTAGGGAATAAATGTGATTTGGAATGTTCGAGATAAGTAACAAAGCAAAAGGGAAAATAACTAGCTGACAAATACGGGATTTGCTTTATTGAAGTTAGTGCTATGTCAGGCAAAAACATAAATCACGCTTTCTAGATACTTTCTCAGAGTAAGCTTTAATTATATTCTTTAACATCATCTGTATTTAGATATACTAGTAAATTCTCAACTAGATGAGAACATTGAAGAACGAGAAAGAAGAGAACAAATATCAAACAATAGCATTAGAATTGGAGAATTCAGCTTCTCTTTCAAGGTAGATTCAGTCATTGAAGACTCCCTTTAATCCTCATGCATTGACGAATAAAAGGCAAATATGATTCGAAAATTCTCAGAGTCAGTCAACAACAGTAAAAACAAGGCAAATAAGAATAAAGGCTAGTCTAAGAAAAAGAGTCGCTGCTGCTGATCAAGAAAATGTAGCCGTTAAATTAAGGATTCCCTATGAAAGTGGCAGTTACATTAGGGAAACTGAACAGCCGACTGATTGGGAATTCTTAGCTATAAGGGAATCTATCACCCAGTTAAAATTATTATAAAAATAATATTAGTGATTTTTGACTATTCACTACTTTTAATTAAGTTAATTTTATTTTCGTTTCTATATAATTTCCCTCTTTCCCAATTTAATTATTATATCTGCTGAATGGGGTTTTGGGGTTTTGGGGTTTTGGGGAGATCGGAAGAGCACACG